AATAGAGTATTAGCAATGTAAGCAAGATTAGCGGCAACCACGCTGTCGATGCTAACAGGCTATTACACAGTGTTGAAGTATATATTATAAATGATTTATCCGTGCACATCACTATTTTTTTTTTGTTTCAATTTGCCATGTAAACTGCACACACTCACAAACCAAACGTTCTTATCTAGTTACTTGTTAAAAACATACGTTTTCAAAAATGAACACAACTGCTTAAAAATTTGTGTTTTGGGTATGGATGCGTGTAATTTACATTGTAGAACAAAAGGTAAAAAAGTATCGTCAAGTTATGTTTACCACAGGCTTTATTTTACTCATTAATTATAAAACCCCATAGGAAAATCTCCTAAGGAACCCACGGCGAATTACACTTCCAGATTCTGACGTCAAACAACGCCCACCAATCCAACCCTCTCCATTGACTTTGTATTTGCGGGAGCTGCCTCCTTGTCATTTCTGACTTATATAACAAAAAACATTACAATGTCTTTAACTGTAAATTCCTTGAATGATTGTGGCAAATGTTAAATGCCAGCAACAGTACGTGTCTTGCCACCAGCACAGCTACGCCTATTTTCACATGCCAAATAAGTTGCAATTAAACTTTTTTTAAAGTGCTTTAAACCAGTTTATACAGGTTCAGGCCAGACAGTATCATGTCAAACTTTACACAAAAGACTTTATAAATGAGCATGTAACAAAACATTGTATTTATGTATGTATTTTCTTCTTTCAAAGGCATCGCACTGCTCTCTTTACCTGCTTGTCTCTTGCAGGATCAGGTATACAGCATCAAATAGCCTACATTAAACCGTAATATGAGGCATGTGCTTTTGTTATTGGGTGTAAAATTGCTGGAAATAATAGGTCAATGCTTGTTTTGTAAGGTGAACAATGTGCTGTTCAAGGTAACTGGGTTGTAATAGGCCTATTATCGCATTTACTATCCCATGTAAGCATGTAGCCTTCATTTGTAGCTCAGCCAAGGAAATGCAATGACACCCAGAACATGTGAATTGTATGTCAATGTCTTTGGGAAAAGATGTTTGTTCATTGCAATCATAATAAGTGTTATTAAAATCACCATGAAATCAAAAATGACAATTCTAAATTTTTTACACAGTGTTGAAGTATTTATAATAAATTATTTATCCGTGCACATCACTATTTTTTTTGTTTCAATTTGCAATGTAAACTGCACACACTCACAACCCAAACGTTCTTATCTAGTTACTTATTTACACAGTTAATGTATCGCAGAGGGGACATGGATGCATTTAAACTGCAGTTACAGATGCATAAATAGGCCTAATGTTTTGTTTTTAACATAAAACGTTTAATACTGATATATGAAATAATTTAAAACATGAAAAAAATAGTCCAAATGTGAAATTAAAACCGCCAGTTTTAATTTCACCTCCATCACAGCTACGCCTATTTCACATGCCACATAAGTTGCAATGAAACTTTTTTTTTAAAGTGCTTTAAACCAGTTTATACAACAGTTCGTTCTGGTTCTCAAATCTGATTGGTTGAGAACCGTGAGATATTGTACTGGTATCGCTACAGGAACGCCCTTTCACGATACAAAATATATACAAAGATACAAACTTTTTAAGATTTTTTTTTATTTCCCAAATTGAAAAATGTGTTGCTAGTTCAAAATTAAAGCATGAAAATTCCTAGGTACAAATTAATTCAAGAACATGCCAAAAGTCGCCAAGATGAGCTCACAGTAGGTTTTAAAGTCAATCTTTATGTGCCACTGATAGTATTAATTGTTTACAGTAATCTTTTGCAATGTTCTCTCTATAATTTTATAACACTGTGAGGCTTTGGCCACTTTTTAGGTTAAAGTTGTTTTTCAATTGACAATTTTATTGTCAACATTTTTAATACATCACAATCACAGACATTACGTGATCACACATTTAATGTTTAAACTGAATGAGCTCCTTGTCTTGCAGTAATTATTTTTTTGCTGCGTTGGAACACTTTTCCAGCATTTTAACACAGAAGAAATGCTGCTTTTGAATTGGTTTTATGACTGAGGCCTCAAATACAGGTGCATCTCAATAAATTAGAATGTCGTGGAAAAGTTCATTTATTTCAGTAATTCAACTCAAATTGTGAAACTCGTGTATTAAATAAATTCAATGCACACAGACTGAAGTAGTTTAAGTCTTTGGTTCTTTTAATTGTTTTTTTTAATCTCTTATACAGCAGTAGAGCAGTTTTTGACTCAATCATGTGCTACACTTTATTTACAATTTCAAATAATTTCTTGCGGCTCCAGTATACCTGTAAACGTATTTTCATATTTGTAACTGTATTTGTTTTCTTCCTTTCTTTTCACAAATCTAAAAGGACACTTCACACCCTACAACCCCTAAAAATGTATGTTGCTACCTTAAATGTTTTCAAATTTTTTTATTATATTTAATAATAATATTTAAAATAAACCATGTCATTGACTTCTTTATTGACACTTTGACAAAC